GGGGGGGGGGCCGAGGGGTGGATGAACGGGTGATGGCAGCTTAAATCACGGTGAACGAGATGCTAAGCAGGTCTAAGCCCAGCTGCCTCTGGTGTTTGGGACGCCGTGGGCGTGTCTGCCGACTCGCGTGTGCAACGTGACGGAGAGACATCCTGGCTTTGGCGCAGCCTGTTGAACCGCGCCGTCAGGATCGCAGAAACACAGAAAGAGGAAACCATGTGGACAGCGTGTCCTCGGCGGGGGGGGGGGCAGCCAGGAGCACGCGTGTAGGCTGCCAATTGATTACGGCACTAAGCCCACTGACTACAGAGCTGATTAAAGTCACGGTGGCGTGTGCATGTGCATCTCTGGGGCTTGCAGGTATCTTTCCATTTGGCTATCGATTAAGGAGTCGTGGCTGGGGGGAGCGTTAACTCACCCGTGACTAATCACTTTTGTCAGCTGATCTTTGGTTTGATACAATCGATCTCGCCGAGCTCAGTAAATAAATAAACATGCTTACTCGTCCTGAACATAAAACAGTACTAATAATTCACTGTCCAGTTAGGTGTGAAGCCAGCTGTTCCCCTTAACATCTCCTCGGTGCTCAGTTTAATTATCCATCTGCAGACAGCTTCATAATGTGTGGCGTTTAGACAGTACAGCCTCCTGTAACCGCGTCAGCTCTCAGGGAAGCCTGATGCTCACAGAGATGAATGTTTGTCTTCAGAATGTGCTACAGTCTGTCCTTCTCTATTCACTCACCAGATGTATCAATTACGCATCAATGCCGGTGAAGTCATTCATATCCTTTCATTACATGACTATGTCATAATTTACAATATCAAACCACAGATGACATTAAAGGCAGCACACTATACTTGTAGGAAAAACGGCGGGACTAAAAACCTTGTTAATATTTATCTGTGAGAGAATAACGTCAGAAAAAGGCAGTGGTTGGCATGGAGCCCAGACTCAGTCACAGGTTGCTATTGGGATGAACTGGGATGCAGGGTTAAGGTCTGAATGGAGCGCCCCCCAATGGCAGAGTAGGAGCACTGCACAAACACCAGTTTTGTGTCATGAGAGCCACTGAAGACTCTCATTCTTAATCATTTTATAACACGTATCCCTTGTTAGAAAATAAGAATTTACAACACAACAAATTTAAAAGACTTGTTAAGACGTCTTATACTATAAAAAGACATTTTACACTATAATTAGAACAGGTCTTCTGCAAAATGTAATTTAAGACGACTAATTGAAGTGGTTCTCACTTCAAAGAGTCATTCCATCACACTGTCAATATAAGAAAGCGCCCCTTAACCCTAATCCATTACGATATGCGAAATGAAAGAGGCAGCAGGGTAGAGACCTTAATGTGGGATTTATAATGAGCACTGGACACACTGGTCTGGCTGGTAGTTTCTTAAAGAAAGGAGATAGAAACTGACCACGCCTCAACACCCCCTAGAGAACATAAGAAATTTACAAACGTGAGGAGGCCATTCGGCCCATCAAGCTCGTCTGGGGAGAACGTAACTAATAGCTCAGAGTTGTTAAAATCTTATCTAGCTCTGATTTAAAGGAACCCAGGGTTTTAGCTTCCGCTACACTAGCAGGAAGACTGTTCCATACTCTAACTACACGCTGTGTAAAGAAGTGCTTCCTCAAATTCATTTTAAAATGTTCTCCCGCTAATTTCCACTTATGGCCACGAATTCTAGTATTTAAACTAATATTGAAGTAGCCATTTGGCTGAACAGCATCCAGACCCCTTAGAATCTTATATACCTGGATCATGTCCCCCCCTTAGTCTGCTTTGCTCGAGGCTTTTATTTAGAGGTGTAGTACCCCAGGAACCCGAGGTGTACCGAGATAACAGGAGGAAGGGTTAGTGGGGGGTGCATGGATACCCCCATGGTGGGAGAGGAAGGCATTGCATCAGCCGGCTTTGAGCCAGCAGCTTGACGTCAGACGTCCACAGGCACCCGGGGGGGGGGGGCAGCTCACAGCTAGACAACAGAGGAAGAAGCTAACAGGTATTCAGGGGGCAGGGAGACCCGAGCCACACAAGGCCAATAAAAACAGGATGCGACACACAGAAGTTGTGAGAAGTCTTTGGTGGCCTGTGACAGTGACCTCACATGTGTCATTGTCACAGATGCGGTATGCAAATCATCAGATCAGTCCCCGAGCGGGACTAGCGCACGAGCGAGACGTGCATTTTCATCTGGCAGATGTGCACCTTCGTGAGCCAAGTTGCAGCATTTCACTTTATTAAATGATAAACGTGTATATTAATAAAATATTGAGAAGTTACACTGAGCCGTCGCTCCGATGCGCCAAAGTCAAAAGAGCGGCTGCATCATGACGCTCTGTGCATTAAAGTTTAAACAGCCATAAAAGCCAGGGAGCCATTGTTTACACGGTGCTTGATGTGATATTTCCCATCGTCTAGGGGCTGTGAAAAGTGTGGTACGAGGACTAGGCACAATAATAAAATAATAACGGTAGCAGCGAGAAAGAGAACAGCTCTGGGCCCACAGCTGATGCGGAGGGCGGATAAACGAGGCACAGCGAGTCCAAGTGGAGGTGGAGGCCCAGTTTGACCCTCCTGATGTTCTTAATTAAAAACTAAAAAAAATGTCTTAAACCTGAATAATCAATTGCTACAATTTCCTATGAAAAAATCCAGCTTTATGGAATGTATATTTTGATTTATGATCTCAGGTTAGATTTACAGTTAAAGGCAGGTCAGGAATGGCCTTTAAGATCAGCTGGTATGCTGTCAGTACTGCCCGCCTCTGTGCTGGAGCCTGGCACCCCTGCCAGCTGCGTGTGGCTTGTGGCATCATCATCTCCTCAACTACTACAGTTAGTGGTGGTGGCACTTAGAACCTCAGAGCCCTGGGGGCGACAGCTTGGCAGCACAGCGGCCAGAGCCCCTATAGAATTATTGTTCACCTGCAAAGTGCTAAGCCCGCAGGTGATCCCCGCAGCACTGAACTGTGGGTAACAGTGCCATTCAGAAGGGACAGTGAGGTCTGCAAATCTGTATAGTCAGAGGTGGAAAGTTCAGGTCCAGAAAGTACAAATCCAGCCCAAGATTTTCTTTCGATCAACCAGCTGATTACTCTGTGAATGTGAGTCTTTATGTTCAATTGGTTGGTTGAAACAAAATCTTGGTCTGGATTTTTACTTTTGGAACCGGAACTTTCCACCTCTGAAAATAATGATGTAGATTCGTTTGTGAGAAAAAGTTTCTGTTAGTGTTTTCTGGATTTCTGCATGAATAGCATTGTGGTCCAGTATTTACTAATATGGCAGAAATGAAGAGCAAGGCTAATTTAACGTCACACTAATTGAACATCACACACGTGCCTTTTCTTTGGTTTGCATTTTCATGTCAAACAGTTAGTGTTGGAAAAAGTATGTGAACCCGAACATTTAGTAATGACTGGAACCTCCTTTATTTGTGATAACCTCAACTAAATTGGGCAGCGATGGCTTAATGGTTAGGGAAGCATGCTTGAAATTGAAAGATTACAGGCTCGAATCCCCGACCAACAAGGTACCGCCCCCAAGCACTGCTCTCTGGGCGCTGAATTAGCTGCCCCCTGCTATGTCACGACATCACATATGGGTTAAATGCAGAGGTCACATTTCATTGTTGTGTGCTGTGGTGTGTCAACAATGACCACTGATCTCTAAATGCTTTACACAACTTCTGGTTATACCAGTGCAGCAGTCCGGAGATGTTTTCAGCCATTCTTCTACGCAAAACTTCAGTTCCATTCAGTTCATTAGTATTTTTCGGAAGGTCTGCTGTCGATCGTGCCACAAAATTTTAATTGTATTGAAGTGAGGACTTTGACATTCTTAAATACAGAATTTGTTCTGAGGCTCACTGTTGTTGAATTACATATATTTTGTTAGCCAACACATGCCCAAAGCAAGATATATCTGAGGAAAGCTTGAGATCAAAGAGCAGAGTCACCCAGCATCTAGAAAGCAGCGAACGTAGCAGGAGGTACGAGCCACGCTCAGGGGCCTCTGCTGATACATAACTGTACAGATCCGATCGTTGTCAGGTTGAATGACCCAACTGCTTTTGAGTATTAGCTTTGTAGTTTCCCAATACAGTTTGGTTTAGTAATTAGTAATTAGTTCCTTAATTACTGCAAGTCGTCTAGGCCCTAAGGCAGAAAAACAGCATCCACCATGCCTCACATTTACTATGGAGTCTTCGTTTTGCTATGCAGTTTTGGTTTTGGTATGAAGTCTTGGTTTTGGTATGCAGTCTTGGTTTCGGTATGCAGTCTTGGTTTTGGTATGCAGTCTTGGTTTTGGTATGCAGTCTTGGTTTTGGTATGCAGGTTCGGTTTTGTTTTCTCTAAACACAATGA